AATCCAGGTTATATTTAATATTGTAAACAGGGTTAAAAGAAAGTACTCCTGCCGGGCGTTGGTGGCGCACGCCTTTAATCCCAGCACTCGGGAGGCAGAGACAAGCAGATCTCTGTGAGTTCGAGGCCAGCCTGGTCTACAAGAGCTAGTTCCAGAACAGCCTCCAAAACAATACAGAGAAACCCTGTCTCGAAAAACCAAAAAAAAAAAAAAAAAAAAAAAAAAAAAAAGAAAGTACTGCCAAATGGTGGTACCTTAATCCCAGCAGAGGCAGGTGAATCTCTGAGTTCAAGGTCAAGGTCGGCCTGGTCTACAAAGTGAGTTCTGGAAGAACCAGGGCTACACAGAGAAACTCTCTCTGGGGTGGGTGGTGGGGGAGACTATGGACACAGGATGGGACTCCTAAGAAAGTCATAATTGAAAATCACACTCTGATATATGCTCCACATGGCTATCATAGATATTTACTTCTTTGTGAATGAAAGTCAATCAAGCCTTTTTATGTAAAAGAAAAAAATATTCCATCCCATCTACTCCAGAAGAAAAAGATGTCAAGATTTAGATACACACTTCAATCCTGCTTCAGTGGTGCATGTATGTTTATGCATGGAAGGACACACTCATAGTCAAAGTACTTGTTTCCCAAATCTACTAGGTCGCATTGAGACTTTCAAGGTTGTTTCTATTGGGAGCTTTCCTTTTCCAGCTTTGCCTCACTTTTTCACCTCTACTGCTCTGGTTAGAAACAAATTACTCTATCAACAGACCTGTTATGTTAACATTTGGTCTAAGCTGGGCATGATGTGCACCCCTGTAATCTCAGCACTCCAGAAGCCCAGGCACAAGAGTCACAACCTTATTAGGCCAGCATGGTTATATGAGTTTGAGGTCTGTCTTGAATTATAAGTGGATTCATGGTGGGTTTTTCTTTCTGTAATATGTATGGGCATTTTCCCTACGTGTGTATCTGTGTATTACATGCATTCTGGTGTCTGTGGCGGCCAGAACATGGCATTTGATCTCCTGGGTTACATCTGGAGTTATAGATGATTGTGAGCCACAATGTGGGTGCTGGGATAGAACCCAGCCCCTCTGGAAGAGAGGCCAGTAAGTGCTGAATCATCTCTCCAGCCCCTGGGCTTGTTTTTAAAAACTGTACTTGTAAATGTTTGTTGAAAGGCAGAATGCCCTTGAAACATAGGAACAGTGACTTTATTTCAAGAATTGGATTGGCTCTGACACTATGATGGAGGCCACAAAGTCCCGAAATATGCTACTTTACTATAATGAGGAACAAGTAAAGTTACTGGTATAATTCAGTCCAACTCTGATGGCCTGGAGGAGAGTGTGGAGAATGGTCAGAAAACTACTACTGATGTCCTCCTGGGGCCAGAGAACATGAATTTAAGAAGCAAGAAGCAAATTTCCTTTCCTCTGCAATTTCATTTTATTCAAAATCCCAATGGATTAAAAAATTCTTGTTTGTACTGAGGGCAGTAATCGTTTCCAAGAACACCCCATAGATACACCAGGAAGAATGTTTTATCAACTATCTTGGAACCCCTCTACCCAGTCAAACTGACACATACATGTCAAAGTTAGCCATCACAAATATTTTTCATATAGCTGGGATGCTGTCCCTTCCCCAGACGAGGTTTTGGAATGATACTTGCTTTTCTTCTAACTTAAATACTATAATGGGAAATTGATATTTAAAATATTGATAAAGTATTAATACTTATAAAACATGATAGAGCAAGGAAGGTAATTGTTTAATATTTGTGTTTGTAAATATATAAAAAGTATACATGTGCACACACATGAACTCATAAAAACTTCATGCCAGGCAAGAAAAAAAGCTTTCCTGCTTGCTTTTAGATTACAGGGATTATTTCAAGAATAGTTGAAGCTGGTTTGTAACATTTTTCTTCCCACATGTTTCTGCATGCCTCATGTAGCCTGGCCTAGAACTCAGCAGTAGTCCAGGCTGACCTTAACTCGTAATCACCTGTGTGCCACCAGATGCCAGTATTCTGCTGTTTGGCAATTGTGTTCCACAGCTATATCACCAAATCAACTGCTAAGTATTGTTGCTCGTTTTTGACCATCATGACTAATAGCTACTATGAACATTGTGTGTGTGTTTTCTGTAGAAAAAAAAACACATTCTTTTTCATCTCAAAGATTTGTGCATGGCGCATTAAAGCCCAAACCCTACCAATTTAAGGTGAAAATGTTTTCAATAGGAAGCACAGGTCTTGTTTTGAAACCATGTCATTATGTAAGCCAGGCTGGCCTCCAACCAGAGCTCTCCTTCCTCTAGCACCTCAGCCTGAGATTACAAGGGTGGGACACCATGCCTAGCCAAATGCAAGTTTCTCAAACAGTATTAACTTTGTAAGAGTGATATTGTAAACCAGAGAGAACAAAATTGAATTTTTATGTAAGCAATATATTTGGGCTCCAAATCATGTATTTGCAGAATATGCCAATCAGCTTTGAATATAGATCTTATACTTTATTGTGTGTATGAAATGTACTGCCTGAAGGCACTTTTTAGACAGGGTCATGTCATACATGCTGGCCTCAAACTTTAAAAATATTTATGTGTAGGAGTGTTTTGCCTTCATGTATCTCTATGTTATGTGCATGCCTGGTGCCCATGGAACCAGAAGGCATCAAATCCACTGGAACTGGAGTTAAGGATGGCTGTGGGCCACAGTGAAGATGCTTTGTATTGAACCTGGTCCTTTGGAAGAACAACAAGAGCTCTTAACTTCCGAAGCACCTCTCCAGTCTCTGGCATCCCACTCCTCAGGAAACTGAGGATGACCTTGTATTCCTGATCCTTCTGCCTTTACTTCCCAAGGCTGGGATCATAGGCCTTCAATACCATGCCCAGCTTGACGCAAGGTGAGGAGAAACTCGGCCACATCCACGCCTGCTGCAACCCCAAGTGCTGGGTTACAGGAACGCTGCTACCATCCAGTGTACAGGAGCTAGGGAATGGAATCTAGGGCTTCGTGCGTGTTAGACACACACTGAACGATATCCCCAGTCCTGATCCTGTGTCTGTAAAACTTAATCAGCCATGTTTGCTTTCTCTTAAAACTGACAACTGTACTTCAAATGTCTTTACAATGTGTGCATGTAAATATGTGTATTTATGTGTGAAACATTGTTTTGAGAAGGGTCAACAGCTTTACTGAACTGCCCACAGATTTTTAGAAACAACAAGTCTGACCTCGAGTGTGTCCCAGTGTGCTGCGCTTTGTTACACAGCAGTGAAGGTTCAGTCCTTTTATATTGAAACTTGCTAGATTAGAGCACCAGGAACTGGTTTCTTTGAAACATCTTCATTGTCCTCCCAGTATGTTGAGAGCTCCCGATTGGTAGTTTCCAGTGTTTCCCACTAATCACTGCACCCTGGCTTCTGAAACTACAAATGGGAAAAGAAGTCAAATTAGATTCAGATGTCAATTTAAAACACAAATATAAAACATCTTGTTCTACAAATACTCTGAAGTTAAATACCTGCACTAAAGTTCCCCTTCTGCCACTTAATAGGTCAGTATCCTTGGTATAACAGCAATCTGTGCCCTAGTTTCTTTGTTTGTAAGAAGTGCTTATTTGTAAAAATAAGAACAGTGCCTAGTGCATATTAGTCATACATATAATATATATGTATATATATATAAATCACTTCAATATATTTCACATTCAGTCATGTTTTAGTCCAGTTAAATGACTGGGCTGTGGCTGATAACACAGGAGCAGCAGCAGTGTGTAGGGGTAAGGAAAACAAAGTATGATGTGTGTGTGGATGACCTTGTCACAGGGAAACCCATTATTTGCATGCTATCATAGAAGAGCAAACACCGATAAAACCTGTACAGCTGCAGTGTCCTTTCACATTGTGACATTTAAGACACAACCGCTCTGACAAAGGGCAGGCATTATTCATGCAGATTGGCAGTGAAGACACAAACCTGGGAGATGTGGGGCCGGGCCAGTGTCATAAACATAAAAACAGAAAGCAAAACTGCCACCTGGGTTCCTCCCTCCACCCCATGCCCAGTTTTTGCTTCTGCTTTAACTGGTGAGTCTGAAGAGAGAACAATGGGTTGTTTTCAGGGCAGAGGAAGTGTCGGAGGTGGCCAGGAACCCATGAAGTACTCAGGGTTTTACTAACTCAGAAATGTTCAAATAATCTCTATCACTTGGGAGCTTGTTGTAAAAGTATAATCTCGGGCACTTACTCAGGCCTACTAAATCAAAATCAGCATTTTAAACTAAACTACAGGTGATTCCTATGGGCACTAGTTGAAGCAGCTGTATTCCAGTAATTGCTCTAGTGATATTTTTAATATATGCAGTTTTGTGTATGTATGATATACACACACAATATACACTCTCATTCTTAAGACTATATATTAGATACTTCATCGCTTTTTATCATTTAATTAGGGACTACTGTCTGCAACAGGTTTTCAAAATTCAAGTTATTTCCACGTAGTCCTGCAGGATTTCACTTCAAGTGGGGTTATTCCTGAGTGCTAGAAAAAACTAAAGCAGGTTCATCCTTTCTGCCTTGAAGTGCCTTTCGAAAACTAAAGGCTTAGTTTTTTAACCAAAGGATACACTACATGACAAACGACCCTCTACACCTTAAGCACGGCGGACCAAAAACAGGGCAGTGGTACACTCAGATCTCACCCACAGAATTTTGTCCAGACTGATTCCCTAACGTTTTACCACTCTGGGGCTCAAAACCTGAAACGGCACCGGGAGAAAGAAGATCCTGAGGCATTCCTCTTGCTGTTCCACACCTAACTTGGCCTGACGTCGGGGCTCTAAGCAACCCGATCACAATTAAGCCGCATTGTTAAGGCTACGCTCACGCGCGACCCTCCAGGCCGCTGCTCATACGGGGCCCTCGGCGTTTAGCACGCACATCACTCCGCACGTGGCGGTGCGAGCGGCACTCAGCCCGGAACTGTCTTAAATTACCGATCCTAATCTGAGGGGAGCCTCCTCCCGCTGCTCAGCCCTCTCGGAGGAGCACGGGAAGACATCCCCATCACCTGGGCCCCCGGAAGCCCGGAGCCGGCCCCACCTTGCCTAAGGCCCCCAGTCACCCCGCGGCCCCGCCCCCAGCACGTCCCCATTGGACGCCCGAGAGGGGGCAGGGTCAGCGCGCGCCGGCCGGCCGGCCTGGGGAATTCCATTTCCTCTCCCGCCCACCAGCATAAGCACTCAGGGGCGGTGCCTTGGGCCCAAGGCCCGCCCAGTGAGAACCCGGGGTTACCGGCGCCTCTCGCGATAACTTACGGATTTGGGGGCGGGCCCCAGGCAGGAAGAGAGCACAAAACTGCCCCTTAAGTCATTGCAGAGCCGGAGCTCCGGTTAGCCTGCCACGAGGTTCTCGCGAGACCCGCCGCCTCCATACCAAGTGAGGAAACCGGGGGCCACTGGAGGGAGGGGCGCGGGGGCCTCGACCGCGCAGCTGCCGCTTCCATCCCCTTCCTCCTAAGGTCTCCTTCCGGTTCTCGATGCTTCTCTGAGTCTCAGGGTTTCCGCCGCTCGCCCGCCCTCCCCCTCGGCCCATGACCCGCCTCCGTCCCCCGCCCTCCCGGTCCGACCTCCGATCAGTTTCGTGAGAAGGTGCTGTTCCGACCGAGAGACGGCAAGCGGGTGGCGCGTCCGCTCGGGCCTGGACGGAGGGAGGCAAACCGCTCCCCTCAACCCTCGGCTCGCCCTGCGCTCGCGACGGCGGCGTTGGCGGACGGATACGCGGCGGTGAATAGGCGGGGGGGGAGGGGCGGAGCGTGGCAGCTGGCAGTAGTTCCGTCAGAGCCGACATCTTGTGGCTGTGCCGTGCGCGTGAGCCCCGTAGGGCCGGGGAGGCACCAGCTGCCGCGCGGGGAGGAGGCCGAGGCCGCAGCTCGAGGGAGGCCCCGGCCCCTCTGTACGCGTGGGTGTGGACGGCTCGGCCGAGGGGAGGGCGAGCGGCCGGGGCCGGCGCGGCGCCCGGGGCTGTGGGCGGCCCGAGTGGGCAGCCCTCGGGGCTGGGTGGGGTGGGGTGGGGAGGCCGGCGAGGCCGGGCCCCGCTGGCCGGGCGGGCGGGCGGGCGGGGAAGGGGGGGACATGGGCGCGTCCTGGCGCCCGAGCCGGGGCTTCGCGGCCGCCGGGCGCGTGGTGGACGAGGAGGAGGAGGTGGCTGGGCGCGCGCACGTAGCAGCGCGCTGTGAGGCGGAGAGTAAGGCAGTGTCAGGGGCGACCCGGGAGAGCCCGAGCTGTGGGGACGGCCGCGCACGCCACCCCCGTCGCCTTGTGCCGGCCCGCCGACCTTTGGAGCGGAAACCGCAAGGGGCCCGGCGCCGGCCCGGAGCCTCCCGCTCCCCTCCCCCCTTGCCTTTCTTTGCCCGGCTGACGCCGGCCTAGCGCCGACTAGGCCCCGGCTCCTCCTCTGCCCGGCTCCGGCCCCTGCCCCGCACCCACCCCTTTCTCCTCCGCCTCTTCCTCTCCCACCCGGGGCTCTTCCTCTCGAGAGGCCGGGAAGTTGAGCCCGTAGCCTCCCCTCGGCCCCTTCCCGTCACCCTCGCCCTCTCTCCGGGCGAGCCGCCGCGGGCAGAAGTCGTTGGTGGCTTGGCTACCCCGCCCTGCCCGGATCGCGACGGTTCGCGGGCGTCTTGGCGTCGGCAGGGTTTCTCCGAGGCCCCGGGCGAGTGGCTGATCTGCTCCGTTTTTGCAAAAGGCGCCTGTGTCTGGCAGAGCCGGTGTGAGAAGAAGAGACGATCCTTCCTCGCCGCCGGGACAATCAAGAGTTTTTGGCCGGGCCTTTGAGGTACACATCGGGATAGTGAGGAGCCCGGCGAAAAGCACAGACTATGGCGCTGAAACGGATTAATAAGGTGAGGTGCTGGGACCAGATATGCGGACGGGGGCCTGGGAGGGCGGGCGGGCAGGTCGGGCCCCAGGGCCGTGTGGAAGCGGGGGTAGCTTATGAAACGAGCTTCGCGTTGGGAACTGCGTGCTTTTGGCAAGCGAAATGTTAGACTGGATTTGTCTCACAAGAATCTGTAAATTGTGGGTGAGAGCGTGGCTTTTCGGCACCTCGGCTCTGCCTCACGAGAGTTAAGTCAGGTTTGGGAGGTGGAATCGTGTAGCAGCCTCGGGCGGATGTCATAGTACTGCGTCCTGTTCCTGATTCCTCAAAACTTCCCTTAGCTGTACTGTCCTATAGGCCTTCCAGGAAGAAAAGGGGACAGATGAGCAAGAAAACGTTTTGTTCCGAAGTATACGGGGCGGGGGGGGGCAACGACAAGGAATTATAAACAAACCTCGATTCGCTAAAAAGTGGTGACGAAGTCTGCCTAGAAGCTTAACCCAATCTGGGCAGTTACACAAGACCAAGTAGGGCTGGGAGGAGGTGGACTCACACTGTTGCCACTTCCTGTGTTGTGTGGTCGCTGCTTTCACCCGAAGCTATTTGTCTGAGGCACCGGGAACTGATGATGTAAATGCCTTTAGAAAGGTCCCCCCGGGGGGTCGCTTGACAGTGCAGGAACACTAGTTGGACGGACTGCTTTTGCTTAGAGCCCCCCCCCCCCCCCCCCCTTAAGGAGCCTTGCTTCCGCAGTTTAAGTTGAACAGAAGCTAGAAATTTTTTGGAGCTCTAGTGTAAGCTGAACCACCTCCTCCGGTGGTGTAGTCTCATTTTCTTGCTCTAACTTCTATCCCGCATTATAAGATGGCGGCTGCTTTAACTGGTTCGGGTTGCTTCCGACATCATCTCCTTTTCTAATAGGAAATAATGTTCTCTGTTAAGCGTTAACCGTTTTTTATATAGTTGTGTGGAGTTCTAAGGTCCTCTGCCTCCAAGACTTAACCTTAACCTAAATTCAAACTCTGAGACTGAATTTCTCTTAATTTGTGTGTGTGTGTGTGTGGTGTATTTGGTTCTTGCACAATCGAGAGGGTGGAGTATTTACAGCTAGCTAACTTGAAAAAATATCGAGAAATAAACTCGATCTTAATAGAAAAGACAAAATAGGAAGGTTCAGCTCTTGTAGGACAGTTTTTTTGTTTTGTTTTAGAGTCTGGAAGGAAAGCCAGGATCTAGATTGACTAAAGTAGGTCTATCTGATGCTACTTTATTTATAGGTATTTAATATGTATAACTTGCTACGCTTAATTGGCAAGGCTGGAGTTTGATGAAAGTTAAAATCTTTACCTGAATATACTGAAGCTGAAATCTTTGGAAGTCAGTGTTCTAATCATTGTAGTTTTATGCAAAATACTAACTGAACTGTTTGTATTCTTGCTGGTATGCAAAGGAGAGAAAGAAAACCTTACAACTCAAGACATTGAATAGATAACTTTAGAATAATCGCTTAACTGACAATTTTAAGTATGAGTCTCACATTAGAGATGGCATTATTGGGTTTTGCAGCATACTTAATAAATATGTAGACCATAACATTTCACTACTAGTGAAAATAATTCAGACCCATAGCTTTTTATAAATGTAAAACACTTTAAAGGACAGTCTTTCAGATTTTTTTTAAACAGGTGATACCCAGGTGCTCTGTGGCACCATTTTAATGACTTAAAAGCTCTAAAGAGGTAGTAATGGTTAAGTGTGAACATTTGGAGTAAAAACACTTGTGTTAGAATCAAGCCAAGCAACTTTATCCATGTGCCTAATTGATACTGGGATTTTTTTCTAGACACTGGAATGACAATTTCGTGAAAGCAGATCTTTTAAGTTGAAAAATTATGTCGGGACTTGATGTGTAAACTTCCTACATTAGAGAGCTATTTATATGCCATATGACTGATTCAGTCTGTAGACTATTTCCAACCTCTGTCCCCCCCATATACATAGTCAGAATCATGAGGCTTCATTTAAAATAGCATTCAGATACAGGCATAGTTTTTGAAAGTTCAGAAAGAGTTGCCTTTTTTTTCTTTTTTAAGACATCCTTTCTCTAAAAACAAGAGGCCACGTAGCTTTTGTTTTTTGATTGCTCCCTGTTTTGAATTTATTCTTCCTGTTTACCCCCCAACTAGTATTAACATGCCTGTAGTTCTTGGTGTGTTAAAATTCGTATTATACCACTGTAAGCTTTAGTGATAATTTGGATCAAGTTAATTGATTTTTTTAATCTTTAAAGAAAATATTTTTAGTATTTTAAACTATTTCTTAGACCAAATAATCTTACACTTACTCTTTTGCTATTTGCTATTTTTGTTATTTGGACCAAATATAGTCCAGCTGTATTTTAAACATTTTAAAACAAGCATTTTAAAAGCTGAATTCCAAATCTGTTTGGGAGCTTTTAAGAAATTTTACTGCTCCGAAGCAAAATGACTGTTAATGTATTGGGAAACCAAGCCAAACTTTTTTCAAAGTGTTTGCAATGTTTCGTATCTATTAATAGTTTATAAGTAATTTTCTTATAATAAATGTGGAAAAGAAGGTACAGTTGACATCTTCACTATGAAGAATTAAGTCACTGTTAGGTTTAAAAGAAACTAAAACTCTATACAGGTGTTGATAATGTAGCAGACTTGGGATTAGAACCGAGGCCTTCTAATTGTAGATTTTTCTGTTAACCCCTGCAGCTTTATACCATTCTTCAGTTTTCTGTGGTACTAAGATCTAGCATAGGCTCTCTTGTGTAGTATGCCATGTGAGATACTCCCATTTTATGACTGAGGTAACAAGACACAACACAACTAGTGAGTAATAAGTTTCTAATGAGATAGGTTTTTTTTTTCAAAAAACACTAAAAAATACTGTCTTGAAGCATTTCAGTTTCTACTAAATGTTTTGTTTTTGCTGAGAAATGCTGTTTTGTACTTATAAAAATCAGACTAAATCTAATGTTACAACTAATTTGTAAACTAAGACTGGAATATATTTAATTCTTAGGTAGTTTGTTACAGGCTAGAAATTGCTGTGTGTTAGTTTAAATGCTGGGATTCTCTTAAAAGTACACAAAATAGGGAACCCAGAGAGATAGTTCAGAGGTTAAGAGCACTGGCTGTTCTTCCAAAGGTCCTGAGTTCAATTCCCAGCAGCCACCTGGTGGTTTACAAACATCTGTAATGGGATCTGATGCCCTCTTCTAGCATAAAAGGTATACATGCAGATAGAACACTCATACATTAAATAAATAAACCTTTTTAAAAGTGCACAAAGTAGTGGTTCAAGCTTTGTAGGCTCATAGGTTTGTCCTGTGTGGTGGGGTTGTTTTGTTTTTGTTTGTTTTTGGTCCTCATCATCATGCTTATTTGATGTGTAAAATTCTGTGTTTGTTCTGCGCATAAAAGTTAAGGTTAAGTGCCTCTTGATATTCAAATCAATTCTTGATTCTGGTTTTCTTTGGGGAAGGTTCTTAAGGGGATGCTGAAGTCAGGTCTCCTCTACCTTTCCAATGGGCTCTGGAGATTGAACTCAGATTTATGTACTATGAGCCCTCTTGCCAGCCCTAGCTTCCGAATATTGAGATAAAAATGTTTCAGCTTAAATTTTGAGACAGGGTGTTGCACAAAAGCTGGCCTCGAATGAGGTACTTCTGTCTCAGCCCCCTGAGTGCTAGATTATGATGATTACAGAATGGGGCTGTATGCCCAACTTCTTGATTATGCTTTCATTTATTTTTATTTTTTATTTTCATTTATTTTTGCACTGTTTTTTGCCTCTGCCTCCCTGCTGGGATTACAGGTGTGTGCCACCAGACCCAGCTGTATTGTGGATATATATTTATTTTAATTTTATGTGCATTGTTGTTTTGACTATATGTATGCCTTTGTGAGGATGTCAGATCTTGGGAGTTACAGACAGTTGCTAACTGCCATGTGGGTGCTGGGAATTGAACCCAAGTCTTCTGGGAGAACAGTCAGTTCTCTTAGCCACTGAGCTACCTCTAGCCTCCATGCATTGTGGTTCTTTTTGTTTTGTTTTGTTTTTTGAGACAGGGTTTCTATGTATTGCTTTGGAGGCTGACCTGGAACCCACTCTGTAGAACAGGCTGGCCTCGAACTCAAAGAGATCTGCCTGCCTCCCAGGTGCTGGGATTAAAGGTGTGCACCACCAAGGCCTGGCATAACATGTATTCTTAAAATTACTTGGATCCCAGCACTCGGGAGGCAGAGGCAGGAGGATTTCTGTGAGTTAAGGCCAGGCTGGACTGACAGCCTCCAAAACAATACAGAGAAACCCTGTCTCATAAAACCAAAAAAAAAAAAAAAAAGGGCAGCTGGGTAGTGCAGGTGTTTAGTAACTTTATGACTGAGTTTATACTATTTAAACTTGTTCTCATTTGTGATTTAGTATGTTGGGTTGGGTGTGTCAGGATGGAAATGCCTACTCAGGTTAGTCCTAACCAGTGGGTATTTACTGCCACTGGATTGCTGCAAAGTTATTTTTTTTTAATATCTGTGAAATGCCTGATTTGCTTTCATGGATTATAAAGTCACCTTTTGGTGTATTCCAATACTGCTTACAGAAAGATTCTTCTCTGAGTTAGTAGGGCTTAGTTAGGGCTACATTTGCATGTCAGTGAGCCTACCTTTAAATAATCTTACATGACTTACCTTCAAGGATGACCTAAAGAAAGAAAATTGTAGTATTATCCACTCAAGCCATTCTTAGTGCCTTGTCTAGTAAACAAGCATACATGTGTCACTATAATTAGAACTAAACAGGAAGCTAATACCTTATCAGTGATGTAAGGCAGCATAGTGTAGAGAGCCTACCTTATAATCCTTAGGATGAAGGAAACTAGGTTTGCTCAGGAACGGTTACAAATTGAGTTTGAAGGGGTGGGCTTTGTTGTGGTGCTTTGGGCGTTTGCATTTTGAAAAGGAGTCTGGTGGTGTCTTTCTGGGCTTGTTCAAAATT